CTTTGGGGGGAAGGCAGCCCTGTTCTCTACCTAGACTACTGCCTCTTAACTGACATTCCTAACTCTTTTCTCTCTTATCATCTCCAATCCATCCTCCATATAATTGGCTTAATAATTTTCTCAATGCGTTGTCGTGACTATGTCACTGATCTACCCAAAAATCTTTAGTGTGTCACCTTTTCCTAGCAAAGAAAATATAAACTCACTATCCTAGTACTCATGGCCCTCTACAATCTGATTCCAAACTACTTGGATAGCTCCATCTCACACTCTTGACATATTCGACATTCCAATTAAACTGTCCTATTTTGTACGCTTAGTTTACCTTCTTTATTCTCCAGTGTTAGGTCTTTGCTATGTCCAAGGTCAGGAATACTTTCCTTCCTACCTTCTCCCTGCCACCCCCCATCTGCTGAAGTCTCTCATTTCTTTCACCACCCAACTAAGCCAATACCTCTTCCAAAAAACTTACCCACCCTCTTCAACCCTCACCTTCCTCAAAGTGAAAGCGATCTCTTCCACTTCAAAATGTTCCTAGCTTTTTTTGCCTCACTCATCTCTAGATTTATCTTAATTACCTTTGGGTCATAATAATTTATTTATTTATCCTTCTGCTTTTATCCTTCCCCTCAGAGGGCAGAGCCTATATAAAATCTTTCTTTGTATCCTCAGAGCCTATGACAGTGCCTTTTACAAAGCTGGGGCCAAATAAATGTTGGGCACATGGTTCTAGGAGAAACTACATTTAATTCAGTTCAATTAATCAAATGTTAGGTGCTTACTGAGTGCTGAGCTGTGATCTTAACTTTGTTAAGATCTGAAAATATATAAAGTTTGGGAAAGATCTAATCCCTGCCTCCTGGAGCAAACAGTCTGGTAGAAGGATGATATGTGTAATATACAATATGGCATGATAAGTACACTAGTGAGGTGTAGACATAGTGCTATTTGAGGTCTGAGGACTAGGGTGGTCAGAAACGTATTATGAAAGAGGTGGTATTTCAGTCAGGCTTAAAAGGAAGGAGAGAAATTCAACAGCTTATCTCAAATTTCTATCACACACACACACACACACACACACACACACACACACACACACACACACACACACACAGACACACACACACTCCATTCCAGCCTAATTATATGTCCCCAGTCTACCTAACTGGACTGTAGGGATTGGAGGTGCTTGGTAGGTAAATCAAAGGCACTGAAATGTAGAGATCAGACATCTAACTCTGCTGTGAACTCATTCCCATGATCTACCTAGAACAAAATACTTACCTGCTTGGTAACTCAATTTTCCCACCTTTAAAGCAAAGCTAATAATTTTAATCTCTGGAGCACCAAGACAAACTTCAAGGTGTCCTGAGCATCCATCTGTTTTCACTACTTATGAGGTTGTGGCAGGGATAGGGCAAGCGAGCCGAGAGAGGCTAACAACTGCACTGAGGCCTAAGGACAGCTATGATGCCAAGATGATGCCAACTTCTCTCATGGACACATGAACTTCTCTTTTGCTCTCTAGCCAAATTCTGTTGATTCTTCTGAGGAGGGTCACAACAAGCTGGGTGAATGAAGTGCCAAAAAGAGTTATGGCATCTATTTTCCTTCTAAAGTAAAAATAACTCACTTTGATAAATGCTCATGGGCTTGACTGTTTTTTACAGATGATTGGAATGAGAGCTTAAACTATAGCAGTCAGAAGTGGATGACTTAGCAAGGTCCTTTCTAGTTTCTGAGTTCACATGAAGGTCTGAGTCAATCAGAAATGCAATCTTGTTTCATCTTAATTAAAGGACTATTCATTAGGATTTTTTTTTATATTTTTAAAGATATAAGCTAAACCAATGTACAGAGAGTGGTATATTGCCCTGGAGATGAAGTCAGAGGAACCGGGTTTGAATATTGGCTCTACCACTGACTAGCTACATGCTCTAAAAGTGACCATTAAGTCATTTTCCCTCCCTAGACTTCAGTTTCCTTATCTGTAAAACAGGATTGGACCAGATGCCAAGATCCCAGTCTGAATCCCTAGTAGAAATGCTACAGTGTTGTGGTAACTTAGAAAAGGCAGAGCGAGATGGAGGAAAGAGTGGTGAACTCAAAGTCAAAAGACCTAAGTTTGAGTCCAGGCTCCCCCAGTTAATAGGTATGTGATCTAAGGCAAGTGATTTCACACTTACTGAACCTTAGTGTTTTCATCTATAAAATGGGAATCAAAATCCCTGCCCCTCCCTCTCATAAAGTATAGTGAGGCTCAAATGAATTAACAGGTATGAATTTGCTTTGAAAACTTCCAAGTGCGAAACATATATACTGTATAATTATTAGTATTATATATTCAACATTCAGGAGTGATGAATTAGTGTAAGCACAACTATATACATTGGCAAAACTGGCTGGATTAAAAATTCAAGAGGTCCAATTTGGGAAGCTTTGTTAGCCTACTACATAAACTAGGAGTTACCTCAAAATGAGGGAGCTGGACAGAGGATTCCCCAGCTCTAAAGACCCTTTCCAACTTGTGATTCGGTGACTGGCTTCTGCCTCTTAATACATGGTCTTGCTGGAGTAGTGAAATGGAATCAACCAAATCCTCTGGTCAGGCTGGTTTGACCACCATGACCATAGAAGACAGTGTGAGAAAATGGCTTTGTCCATCCCAGATGGGCAACATTGCTAACAAAATGTACCATCAACCCCAATGTCTAACCGCATGGGTTGGAAGCTGGAGAGTGGGGGGATAGGGGATATAAACCCCCTTAGGGTTTACAGGGAGATCTGAAAAAAAATCACACCCCTTATGAGCAAAAGCATGCTCAAAAGCATGCCTGTCCCTACAGCCACTCTGTTCCCTGGGAATTACAGCAGGGAATTGGGATTTATCTTAGGGATGGAGCAGAGTACTACTACCCTACCATCTCTTTTCTGTTTATCTTATAGAGATATGTGAATAAAAGAACCACGAAGAGACTGATGTCTTGGGAGAAAGATTCCACCCGAAGCCTGACAAAGCCTGGAGCAGGCTTTTCTCCCCTCTATTCCTAGGCAATATATATTCCCTTATGTGTAGAGGGAAGCTGGGTTCTTCCAGATACTTTTTCTCTTAATTTTCGTAATTTAAAATCTTACAATTACAAGAACTCATGATGACAGATTCATAGAATATTAAAGGTAGAAGATGCCTTAAAAAAAACAGACACAGAGAATAGAACTAAAAGGGACTTTAAAGCATAGAGTACAGAATTTCAGAATTAGAAAGGAACTTAGAATGCATGACAAAAAACATCCATCCTGAGAGAGACCTTAGAACAGATTCTTGGAAATGGCTAGGACCTTACAGAGCAGAATGCTTGATCTGAAAAGGTTCTAACACCACAGAACCCAGACTGCTGGAGCTAGAAGGGACTTTAGAATTCATCTAGTTCTAATCCAAGACTGCCTCATTTGACAGATGAAAAAAACAGAGGCCAAGAGACTGAAGTCTTTGGTAGCAAGAAAAAAATTGGGTACTGAACGTGGAATCAGGAAGACCTAAGTTCAAATCCCACCTCAGACCCTTACTAACCATGTGACCCTGGGCAAGTCACTTAACCTGTCTGTGCCTCAGTTTCCTCACTTGTAAAATGGGAGGACCAGATTTGATGGCCTCTAAGGCCCTTTAAAGCTCTGAATCTATGATCCTATGATCTATGATCCTACCAGGTGATATACCCAGTTAGGAGCAGAGCTGGGGCTAGAACTCCTGCTGTTTCTGGGAAAAAGAACCACAGATTTCTCAGTGGCTTTTGATAACTACACATTTTTGCTACCATGACAGAGACTTTATATTAATATCTATTGTGCTTTAAAAATAAAGTCAGCCATGCACTTCAGATCACTCTTGAGATTTCACTTAACAAATTGATTGGCTAAAACTTTCACTGTTCCCTCACATTTGCTGATGAAAACATAAAATAGTCAGAATGTTCCATTTTTACCTTTCCTGTAGAGGATTCCATTGTTTTCTTCCAAGATATATTCAAGACATTTTAACCAAATACATATTTTTAAAAATTCAGCTAAAACCAATTCCAGACATGTCATAAATTAAATAAGCTGTCTCCCTCACCTTTGTGGATTATACAAGCCTCCCTCTGGATGCAGGATTAGTAAGTGTCTGTGTCTCCTCTACGATAGCTTCCACCTTCTTTTGATTGTTATTTCATTAAACGTACATGAAACTTTTCCCATGACTAAACCCATGTTTTAAAGTTAGCTGGACTCTTCCTCTCTACAACATTCAGAAATGTGTATGTGGCATTGATCAATTTACTTCCCTTCTTTTGGTCTCAGCTGGAAGTTTGAAATTGGAAGTTTGAACTAAGCCATTGTTCTTCAGGTCCATTCTGGGTCTAACATTAGAGTCCCAACTCTGCTAGACCTTGGGAAAGTCACTCCACCCTCTCTAAGCCTTAGCATCCTCATCTAAAAAATGAGGTAAACGAATTAGATGATCCCCACAACCCCTTAAAGCTCTGACACTCTACATTCTGAGTGCATTCCAAGAGAGTATGATCTCTGAGAAGGTCCCTTCCAACTATTTCCATCTAGGTTCTGTGTTATAAAGTCCCTTTCATCTATAATATTCAATGTCTGTTCCAACTCCATGGAGGTGCTGTGGAATGAGTGGAAAGACAGCTAGATTTGGATTTAGAGGAGATGGGTCCAATTCCTGACCCCTGTGTAATCTGGACAAGTCACTTAAAGTGTGTAGCCTAGTGTAAGTACATACATGATGTTGCTGGATAATATGTTGTTTGGTGTTCTTTCTAGCTCCAAAACTATGGTCCTATGTATTCATTTGCTATGTTAAACCCCCTCTTAAAAAAAGAAAAAAATATTTCATTTATATCTCATTGATATGATTCAGGGGATGCCATAAGATAAGTAAACAAATTTTGTAAGAAAAGAATCCTTTTGACTTCTGGGAGAATAGGGGAGATGATTGGTGTTACCTTTTCTGGAGCAGGAAACTGCAGGTGATTTACTTCCAAGGGTGTTATCAAAGGAACAGTCTGAAAGCCGTCCTCACCAGAAGGCTGTTTGCTGTTCTTGTCACTCAAATTACTCCCCAGCTTCACCATTCTTGAGCCTCACTTCCCAGACCTAAAACAGTCCAAATGAGTAAGGTGACAACAGAAGGAGAGTGCAGGAAAAAATAGAAGATCACAGTCATGAGAAATAGTTCCTTCCTAAATAGCTCCATTCTGGCTGATATTATCATCAAAGCTCACAACTCAGAGCTTATGTTTCTATTGAGTTTAAAAGATAACAGAGCTTTTCCCCACAACTCTGTAAGGTATATAAACCACACAGGCATTATTATCCCTACTTTACAGAGGACAGAATTGAGCCTTGGTGAGGTATAGTGACTTTCCTAGGATCACTCAGCTAGTATCTGAGCCTGGATTTGAACCCTGGTCTTTCGAGACTGAGACATAATTCTTCAGACTGTTCAGTGATCCTTTCGGGACACCTTTGTTGGGTTTCCAGACAGTATTCCAATTGTACAAATCCCTTGTCCTAATACACATAGGATTCAACAGCCACAGTCTGGGGAAAGCCAAAAGCAAATTAAAGATGTAGTTTTAAAATATTGTGCAAAACAGAAATAATTTTAAATGTTAAGTGAAAAATGCAAGCTGTCACATTGAAAAGACATAACCAGAAGGCAGAACAAAGTCATAATACTCTCGAGCATCATGCAGTATGATTATTTCACCTCACTATTTGAATTGCTATTTTTTTGTTTACAGTTTCTCTTCACAAACCTTCTACTAAGAAGTGTATTGTTTGCATGTGCATGTGTCCATGTATAGATTCATAAAGCTATTGCACATTTTCATCAATATGTATTCATATCCTACATTTTTTAGTATTCTTGTCATTATTATCTGGTTCTTTGATTGAGTCAACATAATAGCCACTGGATTTACTCCAACATGGTATGGCTATATATGTTTTTAATATCAAACTGTATAATACCTAACTAAATAAATGCCCTGAATTTCTTCCTCTCTACCTCTCTCTGATTCAAAGAAAGAATCCTCCATTTAGGACCACAATGCAGCTTAGCATGACCTGATTTCATTTATCAGTCCTGTTGATGAGAAAAAAAACAGTGTCATAATGAAAGAGGGTGGGGTAGGGTAGGATGTGGGTGAAATGGAGCAAAGTAAACCCTTGTACTTACTGCAAACCACGCTTGAAGAGTCAGGCCAGATTCAGGCCAATCTGAAGAGCAGGGATGGTTTTCCCTCGATCGAGAGCTTCAGACTGATGGTGCTGAAGGGACAGGGCTTCTGGGTGTAGCAGCCTGAATCCAAGAGCTACTAACAGTAAGCTGGGAGCAGACTATAGTAGCTCCTGCCTGCAATAAGCACACAGCTCTCGCTCTCTCTCTCTCTCTCTCTCTCTCTCTCTCTCTCTCTCTCTCTCTCTCTCTCTTTCTCTCTCTCCTGTCTCTCTCTCTCTCTCTCTCTCTCTCTCTCTCTCTCTCTCTCTCTCTCTCTCTCTCTCTCTCTCTCTCTCTCAGTGGCTTCCCATTCCATCTGGCATCTGGCACCACCTGCTGTTTCTGATGCATGGCCGCAACTGCCACATAGAAAATACAGTTTCAAGAGGGAAGAAAGAATTAATAAATGAAGTGAATAGGGTGGAATAGAAATATACATATATATATATATATATATATATATATATATACATATATATATATATATATATATATATATATATATATATATATATATATATATATATATATATACGTATATACACTTACCAAGCAACGCCACCTTGAGCCTTTAGAGGACATGAAAAGGAAAGCTAATTGAGAAAGGATACCCCTTTCAGAACTAAACTGTGATCCAGGAGCACAAAAAAACCCAAAGCCAAATTTTGGATACCTGAAATTTTCTGTCAGAGCCATTTTGTTCATAGAACTAATCAAGTTAATTAAAGTGGGAATAAAATTAATTCTGAGTTGGGTCTCTTTCTATTGCTGCTGTCCCAGAGTGATAGGGAATCTGGCATTTCTAGTAATTAAGGTCAGAACCAGGAGCATACATTTGGGAATTTTATATCAAATGTTCAATGCAAAGAATCCTGAAGGGCCCAAGGAGGTCTAAAGAAGGCCGTTTTTCAGGGTTAAGGGAAATTCAGATTATTTGAAGGTGGTGGCCAGAAGAAGAAGACTTCAGGAAAGAGGAGCTGGAGTGAATAGTAAATTCCAGGAAATCTGGAAAATATCCTGTTTCTAAAATTACTGCATCTGAAAGAACCTCATTAGGGTCCTATGCTTAGTTCTGAGTGAGTTGGCTCTTCCTCCATAACTGTCATTACAGCATAAGCTTAAGGGAACTTACATGCTGTTGCAAGAGAAATAGGGAAAATATCCAGTTCAAATCTATCAGCAGACTCTTTGTTCAATTCCTAAGTTCTCTTTGATCACAGAATACAGAGTTATTTTTCTGTTACAGAAGAAGAAATTGAGGCAAGGAAATAAACTGATGGAAATGGAACATTCAGGAACCAGAAGGAAATAAAAAAGAAAGTATTTGGATGATAATCAATGGAAGCAGAAATAGAGAAAATACATAAGGGATTTGTAAAACATCCAAATGCTGGTAAAGATATAAAGAAGATATGCTACAATGAAAAAAGAATGAGTCAGAGGATCTGAATTCAAATGATACGTCTTGTGCGTGGCACATCCTGAGACTCCTTCAGCTTCAGTTTCTCTATAAAATGAGGGACTTAGCCTGGACGGCTTCTGAGGTCCCTTCCAGCTCTGGATCTGTGACCCTACAGGTTTGATCATTGGAAATTCTGGTTCTCTGGACATCTGCTAAAGCTTTTTCTCTGCCCCAAAGAGAGTAATTAATAATTCACTGATGTCAAACAAACCCAGCCTCAGAAAATTACTAGCTGATTGACCCTGGGCAAGTCACTTAAAACCTCTGCCTGACTCAGTTTCCTGAACTATAAAATGGGGACAATAATGGAACCCGTCCCCCAGGAATACTGTGAAGATCAAAGGAGATATTTTTAAAACACTTAGCACAATGATGGACACAGCTAGACAGTCAATAAATACTTGTTCTCTTCCCTTTCTTTCCTTAAGTGCCAATTGTGCGTCACAGGCATGAGGGATACAAATACAAACAAGGAAACAATTCTGACCTTACATTATACTTTTATCCAACAAAAGATGAAAAAGTCAACAAAGGGAATTTCTATTGATCCAATTATTTTTAAATTTTATTTTTAGGATTTTTTTTTTCAGATTTTGAGTTCCAATTTTTCTCCTTCCCTTCCACCCTGAGAAGGCAAGAAATGTGATACTGATTATACATGTGAAATCATACAAAACTTATTTCCACATTAGCCATGTTGCAAAAAAAAATAAAAATAAAAAAGCAAGAAAAATAAAGAAAGTGAAAACTTGTGCTTCAGTCTAAAGTCTGATTTCATCAGCTCTTTCTCTGGAAGTGGATAGCATTTTTCATCATAAGTCCTTCAGAACTGTCTTGGAGCACTGTGTTGATCAAAACAGCTGAGTCTTTCACAGCTGATCATTCATCATACAGTATTGCTGTTACTGTGTACAATGTTCTCCTGGTTCTCCTTACTTAACTTTGCAGCAGTTCACGTAAGTCTTCCTATGTTTTTGGAACCATCCTGCTTATAATTTCTTACAGCACAACAGTATTTCATCACAGTCATATATCACAGCTTACTCAGCCATTCCCCAACTGATAAGCATCTCCTCGATTTCCAGTTCTGCGTCACCACAAAAAAAGCTGCTATAAATATTTTGTAGATCCTTTGCCTTTTCTTTTGATCCCTTTGGGATACACACCTAGTATTAGTACTACTGGGTCAAAGGATATGCACAGCTTTACAATCCTTTGAGTATAGTTCCAAATTGTTCTCCAGAATGGTTGGATCAGTTCACAACTCTACCAACAACGAATCAGTGTCCCAATTTTTCACATATCCTTTCCAACATTTGTCATTTTCCTTTTCTGTCATGTTAGGCAATCTGACAGGTGTCAGGTGACACATCAGAGTTATTTTCATTTGTATTTCTCTAATTAATAGTGATTTAGAGTATCTTTTCATATGTATATAGATAGCTTTGATTTCTTCATCTGAAAACTTCCTGTTCATATTCTTTGACCATTTATCAATTGGGCAATGACTCACATCCTTATAAATTTAACTCAGTTCTCTCTATATATTTAAGAAATGAGGCCTTTATCAGAGAAACTTGCTATAAAATTTTTTTTCCCAGTTTCCCACTTTCCTTCTAATCTTGGCTTCATTGGTTTTGTTTGTGCAAAACCTTTTTAATTAAACGCAATCAAAATTATCCATCTTACATCCCCTCTGTTTCTCTATTTCTTATTTGTTCATAAATTCTTCCCTCATCCATAGATCAGACAGGTAAAATTTTCCATGCTTACCTAATTTGCTTATGATACCACCCTTTACGTCAAAATAATGTACCCATTTTAACCTTATCTGGTATATGATGTGAGATGTTAGACTATACTTAGTTTGTGCCAAACTGCTTTTCAGTTTTCCCAGCAATTTTTGTCAAATAGTGAGCTCTTGTCCCAAAAGCTTAGATCTTCGGGTTTATCAAACACTAGATTATTATGGTCATTTACTGCTATGTGCTATGTATCCAATCTATTCCACTGACCCCCTACTCTATTTCTTAGCCAATACCAGATCGTTTCCATGATTACCACTTTGTAATATAGTCTGAGATCTGATACTGCTAGGCCACCTTCCTTCACATTTTCTTCATTGATTCCTTTGATATTCTTGATATTTTTTTCTTCCAGATAATTTTTGTTATGATTTTTTCTAGCTCTTTAAAATAATTTTTGGTAGTTTGATTGGCATGGCAATGAATAAGTAAATTAATTTAGGTAGAACTGTCATTTTTATTATATCAGCTCAATGTACATATGAGCAATTAATATTTTTCCATTTATTTAGATCTGTTTTTATTTGTGTGAAAAACATTGTGTAATTGTGTTCATATAGTTCCTGGGTTTGTCTTGGCAAGTAGACTCCCAGTTATTTCAAATGGAATTTCTCTTTCTATCTCTTCCTGCTGGACTTTGTTCATAATATATAGAAATACTGATGGCATATAGTGTGGTCTTATTTTATATCCTGCAACTTTGCTGAAGATGCTAATAGTTTCAACCAATTTGTTTTGTGGGCTATTCTATCTCAGAATTTGTGAAAGGGAAAGAGAAATAAAAGAGGAAAATCTGCACCCTAGATTTCATGGGAGGAGATTTAAAGAATTACAAAAAAGGATCACATAAACTAAAACTCTATAGGGGAATTTAACTCAAGAGATCTGAGTTGTCAGGAATGAAATCTTGAAAACAGAAATAATTCTAATGAGGAAAAGGAGTTGTCTATAGAAAACATAGATATGGAAACACTGAATTCATCAATCAATGTAGGTTTTTAAAAGACATGTACAGAAAATGGAAGTGAGAGCAGGTAACAGTGTGGATAAAAAAGCATAGAATTAATTACAAAGCATTCCATAAAGAATAAGAGAACAACCAACATACCAGGAAGAATATTCAGTGCTCATGAGTAGGCCATGCTAATAGAATAAAAATGACAATACTACCAAAGTTAATTTATACTTTTAAGCTATATCAATCAAATTACCAAGGGGATACTTTATAGAACTTGAAAAAATAATAACAAAATTCATTTGGAAAAACAAAAAATCTAGACCGTCAAAGGAAATGATGAACGCAATAGAACATTATTGTACTGTAAGAAATGATGTGTGTGATGAATACAGAGAAGCGTGAAAAGATCTATATGAACTGATGCAGAGAGAAGAAAGCAATTTACACAGTGACTACCCAATATAAATGTAAAGAACCATGCAAAAAAATCAAAAATGAACGTAACAAAATGATAACGATCAAGCATAACTTGAATAAAGAGACATGAAAGGATATCCCCAACTCACAGTGCTGTAGAAGTGGATGGCTCCCAGGTGTTACATATTGTACATGTTTTAATGTACAGTCATGCTAATTTTTTTCCTCTTTTTTTCTTTCTTTTTTTGTCTTCAAAAAACTACTATTATATGGGATGTCTCTCTGGGAGGGGAACAGGGAAAGGAGGATACTGGGGATAACTATGATAATTTTAAAAAGCCCCAGAAGATATCGATAAAACCTTTATTACAAGAAGCAGGAAAAAAGAAGACGACGAAGAATAGAATTAGAAGGGCTAAAGCTCAGAATGAACTCAGGCTGGCAAGAAAGGTGAAGGACAACAACAACATTGTTGCTGTTGTTGTTTTGCCCTCTCTTGGTTCCCCCTCATAGGGCCTGACTGTTGCTTCTCGACTTCTTTAATTTAGTCGCCGTCTGTGTCATGGCTCATAATTGTGT